TTAGTTTCTAGATTCTCAATAAAACTTCGACGCTTTGATTCAAGAGTAAATTTCCCAATTTTTAATGTCGAGCTAATATAGGAAGTTGCAATAAATATAGTGAAATTATAAAATCCATACAGATCCTCTTAATTTCCTGTCCACTTTCCTTCGAGAGGTTAAAGTAGAATGGACCTGTAAAAACGTCATGAAATTTCTAGTAAAGGCTTTTATTTGGTCGTTTTGGTTTGTTTTTGTTATCCGCCGCTTTGAATGGAACCCCAGATTTTAGCGTTGTAAAGTTACCGTTGACCCACTTGAGGATGTATTTTTTTGGGGGGGGGTCAACGATTTCCTCATTCGTTTGTTAAAAGTTCTATCCTGAGTTTGCAACCTGCTACGAGATCGTAATAAAAAAGGGATAAAAAATATACTATAGAGGGAGAGAAAGTAATAAATTCCTCGCCAGGTCATTCCATGATATATGTAACTAACACCTGTAATTCACGATATAAAACGTGCAACACAGTAAAACGTTCCTGTCCAAAATGTAATAATTATATTACTACTCTTCATGGGGAAATCAAGTAATTAGAAATGAACGAGTTAAATAAAGCAACAAAGCAAGTAGATAACGTAAAACATGACTACTGATTACTGCAAATTAGATTAAAACTTGGAACATTTGCGGAGAAACCACTGAAGGAAACAACGTAATAACCTATGTCTTTGAAGTTGACGTAATACAAAATGACTAGGCTCGGTGTACTGCACCATTAAATTAAAGTCCACTGCGTAATCGTCGGCATAAATTTCCATGTAAATGGATACATAATCAGTATCAGTTACTCATTTGGGAAATCATTAGATCGCAAAGTTAAGTAATGATGGAGGAAATATCATAAAGAATATTCATTACTTTATAAACTATATCGTTATTAGTGGACTCGAGTTTAGCTCTGTTCGGAGTGTAGTAGAGTGATACTTTGTACCAGCTGTATTGTTCTAATAGACCAAAAGTAAAGAGAAGAAATTGTAAAACTAATACTGACAACAGTGCTACTTTGTACCAGTTGTAATACGTTCTAACAGACCGTAACAGTGATACTTTGTACCAGTTGTAATACGTTCTAACAGACCGAAAAGAAACAGAGGAAATTGTAAAAGTAACACTGATAACACTAACAGTGATACTTTGTACCAGTTGTAATACGTTCTAACAGACCGAAAAGAAACAGAGGAAATTGTAAAAGTAACACTGATAACACTAACAGTGCTACTTTGTACCAGCTGTAATACGTTCTAACAGACCGAAAAGAAACAGCGTAAATTCTAAAAGTAACACTGATAACACTAACAGTGCTACTTTGTACCAGTTGTAATACGTTCTAATAGACCGAAATTGTAAAACTAACACTTGTAGATTTATTGTACGAAATACGATAAATAATGTATACGGCAAATGACTGCGAGTTAACCAAGTTCAAATGGCTTGGTTCTGTCTCTGAAATGTAATTGTATGAGTTATAATGTAATTGTATGAGTTATAATGTAATTGTATGAGTTATAATGTAAATGTATGAGTTATAATGTAATTGTTATGAGTTATAATGTAATTGTATGAGTTATAACAGTGTTTCGATAGAACTAGTATATTAGTTTAGTAACATTTTGTTTCAGAAATAAATGATATTCGATTTTGAAATAAAAATTATTATAACAAACAGGACTCTCTACTTATAACAACTATTATAACAAACAGGACTCTCTACTTATAACAACTATTATAAGAAACAGGACTCTCTACTTATAACAACTATTATAAGAAACAGGACTCTCTACTTATAACAACTATTATAAGAAACAGGACTCTCTACTTATAACAACTTTCATAACAAACAGGACTCTCTACTTATAACAACTATTATAACAAACAGGACTCTCTACTTATAACAACTATTATAACAAACAGGACTCTCTACTTATAACAACTATTATAACAAACAGGACTCTCTACTTATAACAACTATTATAAGAAACAGGACTCTCTACTTATAACAACTATTATAAGAAACAGGACTCTCTACTTATAACAACTATTATAAGAAACAGGACTCTTTACTTATAACAAATATTATAACAAACAGGACTCTCTACTTATATATATAGATACATGTATATTTGAGTGAAACTGTTCACATTCGATACCCAACACCCATTGCGACAGACACCGCGACTAAAACACTTTCAGCAAAGTGAAAAGGTGAAATAAAAGAAGAAGAAAAAAAGAGACTCTGCTTTTTGAAAATATGCACATGCGCACAGTGTGTTTGAAAAAAAAAACATCCTTTTTCACTTACACCGGAGTGCAGATGAACATTTAAAGGTAACCGATTTTTAATCATTCTACGTCCTTCCACCATAACGTATGCCTACGGAATATCAATGGGACCATTAATAATAAACATTTCTTAGAATATCTATCTGCAGAAATGTCCACTCTTTTTTAAAAAAAAGCATATTGATGTTTTTACAACACAACCTACGTGCCTTTCCTTCATTTCGTGTTCGATATTTCTAGGTGAACCGTAGTGTAGAGAAGCTATAAGAGAACAAGAGCTGACTTAGCACTAATGACTCATTTCACACTGATTCAACTGAGTCTCCTCCACGTGTGATAAATGGTATAATCGACACGTTTAGCGACAAGTATTCCAAATGCGGTATCTCCATATATTGGGCAAGTATAATATCTCTAAACCTTAAACAAATATAATATATCTAAACATTGGACACGTATAGTATCTCTACACATTAAACAAATATGCTATCTCTAAACATTGGAAAAGTATAGTATCTCTAAACCTTAAATATAATATCTCTAAACATTAGACAAGTATAGTATCTCTACACATTAAACAAATATGATATCTCTAAACATTGGAAAAGTATAGTATCTCTACATTATGGTATCTCTAAACCTTAAACAAATATAATATCTCTAAACATTGGACAAGTATAGTATCTCTAAACATTGGACAAGTATAGTATCTCTACACATTAAACAAATATGATATCTCTAAACATTGGAAAAGTATAGTATCTCTACATATGGTATCTCTAAACCTTAAACAAATATAATATCTCTAAACATTGGACAAGTATAGTATCTCTAAACATTAAACAAATATAATATCTCTAAACATTGGACAAGTATAGTATCTCTACACATTAAACAAATATGCTATCTCTAAACATTGGAAAAGTATAGTATCTCTACATTATGATATCTCTAAACCTTAAACAAATATAATATCTCTAAATATTGGACAAGTATAGTATCTCTAAACATTAAACAAATATAATATATCTAAACATTAAACAAATATAATATCTCTCAACATTAAACAAATATAGCATTTCAAACATTAAACAAATATAACACCTCTAAACATTGGTATTTCTAAGCATTGGGCAAATATAATATCTTTAAAGATTTGGCAAACATAGTATTTCTAAATATTGGATAGATTTACTGTCTAAACATTGGATAAATTAATTACAATGTTGGTTTGTTTTAAGACAGAGATAAACAATAATATGTTTTTTATGATATGTGGTTTTGTTTATATGCACACACATTCACACATATGTATATGTATACTTTTTTCTATATCAATGTTTCTCTCTATATACATATATGTATACAGAAGTTGAGTACGTGATATTAAAACAATTTTGAGCCTTATCACGTCATTACAGTCCATGTCGCGAAGTCCGTCCATGCTCTTTCTGACGACCAAACATCTTGAAAACATCCCTGCAACATAGTTCCCATTTCCGTCGTAAGACTGTAATGTGCAAAACATACCACTCTTCTTTTCATCTTTCCATTATCCACCTAATGTACAAAATACACCACTTTTCTCTTCATCTTTCCATAATCCACCTAATGTACAAAATACACCACTTTTCTTTTCATCTTTCCGATATCCACCTAATGTACAAAATACACCACTTTTCTCTTCATCTTTCCATAATCCACCTAATGTACAAAATACACCACTTTTCTTTTCATCTTTCCGATATCCACCTAATGTACAAAATACACCACTTTTCTCTCCATCTTTCTATAATCCACCTAATGTACCAATACTAAGATTAACCAGGGCCTGTTAAAAAGTCTAATCACACAAATATTTATAGGCGCTGCGTCCGGCAACTAGAATGGTATGCTATCATATTAAATACCATGAATTCCCGTTTCATTCTCCGGCTACTTGAGATATACAATGGTAATATGGAAGATATGGCTGGAAACCTTTACTTAGGAAAACCATACCTTATTGGACTCTATTCATATTATGTTGCGCACTGGTGTCTGGGACATGTATACGTCGTACTTTGTTTGACATGCCTTGTTGCAAGATTCTTTTTTATGGTCCTGGGTCCCTTAGTTGATCCACATTCGTTTGATTTCCAATTTCATTTAAAAAACGATCTATTTTCTGTGCCATTACATGACTTACGTAGCGCCAAGTAATGCTAAAATGTGATTCTAATACATCCTGTTCCACTGCGACTTTATACAGTCTGTGGTTGTCACGTGATTTGCTGATTTGTATATTCCAAATCGTTTTAATGTAACTTTTTCAACTCTGTGTATGTAAATCTGCTCCTCCGATTAGAATCAGTTCCTGATGTTCAGCTGTTCAACACAATGCTTAAAAATGCGACGTAACATTCCTAAAGCTAGAATACGACATAACATTGATCCTAAAGTTATATTGACCTTCGCTGCTTTTTCGCTCATAGATTTTCGTGTCAAATATCCTTTGCTGGTTTTCAGCCTCTTCTTTGAAGAGGAAGAAAAAATGTTGGGAAAAAAAAATGTTGGATAGAAAAGAGAAACATATTCAAAACACAGAAGTAAAGTACAATTTCTCTTTTTAAATTGAGCGAAAAATCGTTCAAAAAAGTAGTACAACAGCAAAACAACAACAACAAACAAAAACACCTACCATCCATGACACAAGAATTGCTCTGGAGTTTACTGCAACAGCTCTGATACCAGATGGCGCAGTCCGAGGAGCTTGGAAATAAAATATACTTTATTTTTAGTTGTCCGTCTTCGATATAAGTATATTGGGCAACAATATTTTACAAACACTAAGAAAAACATAAATATGTTATAAAATTACCAGCAGAATGACAGACAGCTTACCAAAGCTATTGAATGTATGTACGTGTGTACACCTTCAGTCATCCACAGTTTAATCTGATGTATTATTGTTCAACTTCTATCTACGTACAACATATATATATATATCTAATAGGCAATTAATTTGTTCCATTTCTACAAAATCCCAGATTGTTAGCAGTATGTACATTTATTTCGTGCTTCGTTTTCCAGATTTTTATTCTTATTACGCTTGTTTGTTATACTTCGTATTTGGATTGTTACAGCAAAGACAGCCGTCCAATTTATCAAAATAGAAAGCATATAATTTTTCCAACATCAATACTTATATGCAGAGCTCATTTAAAAAAGAAATACAACGACTAAGCCAACAGACTTATTAAGAATTTATATCATATATGAAGAACAAATAGTTAAGCCATGATAACAGAGTAGCTCGGAGCCAATTCAAAACATACGCTTCGAAGTTTCGATGAACAAACTTAGATGCATAAGCAGCGTGCAGACACACAACGAATAATAAATCCATAGCTTTTTGTTTTTAATATAATTTTATGGAAATTATATGCACTTAAAAACATTATTCAAAAGTCAATGTCTTATCACACAGTTTACACTAAATGATAGATAGATTCTGCCATCGATTTGAAACCATAGAAACAGAATCAAATCGTAGCGCTGTCTTTGGGTATACTTAAAGCCATGTTATATGCAGATCGTAATGCTGTGTTTTGGTATACTTACAACTGTGTTACATGCAGCTCCTAACGCTGTCTCTTGGTATACTTAAAACCGTGTTATATGCAGATTACAATGCTGTATTTGGGTATAGTTAGGGAAAGAAGACGTGAGAGAAGCTTCCTATAGTCACTGAGCTACGAGACGAATAAGAGTCATAGTTAGAAAGAAAAACTCTGCAAAACCTACAGGGGTAAAGTTCTCACAAACAAATGCGATTCTATCAAATCGATAGTGTTTATAGATATGTTTGTTTTAGAGCAGAGGCCACAATTGGCTAGCTGGTGTGTTCACCGCGGGGAATCGAACCCCAGATTTTAGCATTGTAAGTCTGTAAACTTACAGCTGTTCCACCGAAAACAGCATTTATAGAAAAAAAACATATATATATTATTTTAAAGTTTCACAGCCGTAACTGTATAAAATTACACAATTACTTCTGTAAAACATTGGTGTTCGTCACAGTAGACGTTTTGTAATTAAGGTAACTTAACAGTTTTGAATATTCAGCTGTCCTAATGACGAGATATCCAGCAATAAAACATGACAAGTCATACATAACTAAAGGCAATGATTAGGGTATTAACTAAAGTCAACGTAAACAATCACGTATTTTGGGGGAATTTTGGCAAGATTAAAATACATTTATATTTTTATTGGTTTCTAAGAAACGGGACAATCATATCTCACGTATGTATATTTATCAGTTTTATTTTCTCATCTTCTCTATTTTGCTGGTTATATCACTCATACAAAATACTTTGTTTGTAATCTTCAGCATTTTAATGCATTGATAAAAAACATCGAATAACGTCGTGATAATTATGAATAAATTATATTTGCGTTTTTGATGAAATAAAGTAAAGATTTATATTAAAGACCCGACCTTCGCAAAACACAAAGATTTAGAAATTAATTTTAACCAAAACATTAGCTAACATCCTTACTTTACTAAGACATCCTTGTAGAAAAAGGTAAGTCTACTTTTTTCATGTAAATGGTAGAATTTATATCAAAATTAGGTCAAAAGTTGTCTTTCTTACAACATCTGCGGTCCTTTAGCACTGAAGTTCAGTTCTTACTGAAGTCTTGAAGGCCAAAAAATTCCTACTCGATAATGCAGGTGATGAGGTCCTATAGTTATTTTTAAATGTTAACCATTTTCATAAAACGAAAGCTTGATATGGGTCTTTTGAAGACTTCGTAAATTAGTTTCAACATATTTTTTTTGAGGAGAGGGGGAATTTCATAGATAATTAGCAAGTATTCTACGTTTCACTTACGTTCTGCATATTTTTTTTGAGGAGAGGGGGAAGTTCATAGATAATTAGCAAGTATTCTACGTTTCACTTACGTTCTGCATATTTTTTTTAGGAGAAGGGGAATTTCATAGATAATTAGCAAGTATTCTTCGTTTCACTTACGTTCTGCATATTTGTTTTAGGAGAGGGGGAATTTCATAGATAATTAGCAAGTATTCTTCGTTTCACTTACGTTCTGCATATTTTTTTTAG